AAACAGTTATCTTCTATATTGGTGTTGCCATGTCTTACTATATAATCTGTATACTATTGTTGTATTACAGTGGAAGAAAATATTTCCTTAGATAGTACACCAGGCAAAGAAGTCAATTTGAATCACTTTGTAAAGCCTCCCGCAAATCTAGTTGTTCTAGAAGGTGACTGCTTAGATGCTACCGGTGATGGTGGGGAATTGCAGTCTTATCTGGTACCATGATTGCTTCTAGTTGTTTACACAAGGAAGTATTGCTCTACTTCATTTTATTCACTGATGATATGGTGTGTGTTTGCAGCTGGCCACCACAGACATGTATCGTGATTTTATTCTTTTGGACACTTCTGATGTTGTTGCACTTAATGAGTATTTGAGGGGAAACAAAGTAGAGACAGAGCACAATAGTGCTTACAATGGGAGCTTAAATCGTAAAAGCTTTCATTCTCCCAGAGGACGTTCTGCAGGAAGTGCACATAAAAATTCTGCTGCAAAGAGTCAGCATGCTAATCCCAACTGTACTCCTCAACCTAATTGCAGATTTGAGGCTGATAACATTCCAATCAATTCTCCTGCTTCTGTTGGTTTTGATAAATGTGACATTGGACTTCATGTGGATGATGGATGTGATGCATATCACTCAAACAATTCAACCGATGATGAAGATGATCCATGGAAGCCTTTAAATCCTCATGAGCCAGGAAATTTGAGAGTGAAGCCCTTCAGAAAAGGTTTTTCCTCCCCCTCTATCCCTTTATTAACTTTCTTATGTATTACATAACACCTATCATTACTATCCCCTTTGTGTTTGTCTAGTGAAAGCTTTCAAAAGCAAAGGAGTCAATTTAAACAGGCGAGTATCTTTAAGTTCCTTGTTTCCACCTGCAAAATTGCATGGTCCTATCAATCCAAAGCTCATGAACATATGGGAGAGTCAACGCTATGCCAACAAACAGCAAAGGGATACCTCATCACCTCCATTGTATGAAAAGGTACTTTCTCATGGATTCTCTGTTTACCTCCTTTCATCTTATGACAGTTTATAATATTCAGCGAATGAATTACAGCTAAGGCAATCACTTATTAATGGTGGGGATGAAATTGCTGGCGTGTTTCTGAGCCCTGAAAATTGCAATGATGACAATTCATATGATAGCAACAACCCTGATCTAGAAATTCCTGAGAATGTCAATATGAATGAAGATATGCCTGCTGGCAGTAAAGAGGTTTGAAGACCAGTAATTTTATTGTCTCTTGCTCCAGATGGAAATTTCCATGTAAGCTTATCTACTTGATTTTTTACAGCACAACAACGGTGATGCTTATGTTGACGTTGATGAAGCTATAGGTAATGAATATCCAAATTCTCAGGCAAGTTTGGAAGATCTCTGTCGCTCTCACCTGGTAAGTGCCAATTATTTTTCACTTTTAGTGTCAAGTTTTTATTTCTTTTTTCAAAGAAAAAAAGTTGCATCCTGTTTTTTGTAGTTTTGTTGCAGAACTTATGTAAAATAATGCACAAGGGCTCGAGAGTAACTGTAGTGTCAAGTCTGTGCTGGTTGTTTTCCTGAAATGGTAAATCTTTTGCTTAAATGATCCCATAACCTTTTAATTCACCACACAGGATTCTCTTCTAGCTAGCATAGCTAAGACTGAGAAGCAAACTGAAATGGCAGATCGGGTTTCTACATGGAAACAAAGAATTGAGCACAACTTGGAAGAACAGGTGAATAGTCCTCTTTGATGCCCTGTGTTCAATGTTCATCTTTTGCTTTCTTTTTTCCCCGGGGGGCAGGAGGGATTAAATTAATGGCATCCAATAGTTCGACGTCATACATATCTCTTCAAAGTTTGTTTGGCTTCAAGTTGATTTGAATTAATTTGCCTAACAGGAATTACATCCACCATTTGATATCCATGGCTACGGGGAGAGGATCCTGGATAAACTTTCATTAGAAGCACAAGAAAACAGTGAATTGTCCTTTTCGGATGTGGTCAAGGGGCAAGAGAAGTATGATGTGGCTCGAAGTTTTTCTGCTTTACTTCAACTGGTACTTTATTTTTTCTTCTCTGCCCCCCCCCCCCCAACAATATCTTGACAGTGATTACTGCTCTTTGACTGTTATCATATTGTGTGATGTTGGGTGCCTCGAGAATTTTCTAAACTGAAGCCAGTCCAATTTTTGAACTTTATGAAATTTCAGGTAAACAATGGAGACGTACGTTTAGAAAGAAGTGGAGATAATGGTAAATCTGTGTGTTACACTAGAGCAAATCCTTTCCATGTTAGGCTCCTAAATCCTGACAAAAAAGGTGACAATGCACAGCTACGTTTGACCAAAAAGAGAGCAAAGTCTCCAACCAAAAAGGCATTTACAAAAGGGAAAAAGAACAAAACTACAAGGATGAATTCTCCCAACACAGATTCATCTAAAAGAGGGTTGTCACCTCCATCATCAAATTGCAAGTTCTCTGTGAAGCTTGCCAAGTCAAGTGCCATAAGGTGCACTCCAGAAGGGAAAAAGAGACGAAGGTCTCAATATGTTGAACCAATTAACTTGCATTCCGCAGGGTGACTCGCTTGACAATTTGCAGCTTGGTCCCCACAGCTGACATTGATTTTGATTCAAGACATCCTCTGGATGTCATTTAGTAATTAGTAGATCAGTGTATGAAATCATTGCAGTCCAGGGTTGCAGTAAATACTAACAGCTCTCGTTCTGCAATTTGTATTGCTATATCCCTGTGAATATTGATTTATCCATGTACTGATATGACCTTGTAACCCCATATGTATCTTTTCAATGAAATGATCATTCTTGATGTACCCATGCACCGAGCCACAAGGGCTTTTGTAGATAATAACTCAGGTGATTTCACGTTGTTGAGGACTGTAATTCCTTATAAATTATAGATGATAGCAGTTCATTTATGGTTGCATTATATGAAAATAGTTGTGATGAGGCTTGGCAACTTGTGTGAATGCATCAAATTGTGATGATGCACCTGTGGTCTGTCCATTTGATGAAGTGAAAAGTTGGTGCAATGTAAAAATTAAAGGGGACAAAGAGAAAGGAAAGTGGGGCTGAGGGTCAATTATTCAAATATTTGCGTGGTGGCGGTTTTAAGGCTGGAGCTTCCTTGACTCATTCCATTCATTCCTTCTTGCCTACCCTTCCTCCATTTTATTATCATAATTCGCATCACGTGCCTTTCATCAATTTCTTTTATGTATCAGTAGAATCTGAGTATGAACTTTCTTTGTATGCTCTCTCATTCTTCTGATTTAGACTGATCTGATGTGGCTGTCATTTATCCATTTTATGAAGAGTACGTTTCAATAACAAAGGATTAGAATACTACATCAATGTCCATTAAAAGATATCTTTAACTATGTTCATTCAATATTTCTCCGAACCCACTCCTATAAAAAATTATTAAGAATATCATGACTTTGTTATGAAAGACAAGACAATCATTGTTAATGATGTGCCTAGAGAAACATAAATATATCAGTGCCGCAACAATTTATCTAAATATTATGATATTCAATTATCCACACTTGAAATCATGTGATTCTAACCTGACCTAAACTATTTTGTTCTTGCATTGAATTTTTTTTTTTTTTAACATTCTACTTTTATTGATGTATCCTTGATCAATAACACTTGACTGACTCTTAATATCAACTAATTTTTTTATTTGTAAGGAATATTTTTTGAATAAAAACATTAATTATTCTTAATATTTTACAAAATAACTTATAAAATAAAATATCAAACCCTTCTAAAAATGTCTCAATAGTCAATACAATAGAGGGCGTAGTTTAACTTATTTCGTAGCCTCCTCCTTTACACTCATTATTCTGAAATAGTCATATAAATGATACCACATCCAACAAAAAAAAAATTATGTATGAAGACATTTTTTTTTTTTCCCTCAACGTAATGAGAGTTTAAACTCGTTAGTTGACGCTATTCGGATCCTATTTATTTTGATCACAGGGTCTTAAATGATTGAGCTATTAGGTGGTTGGACCAGATAATATTTTAAAATTTAGTTCGCTGAAAATAATAAACTGTTTTCAATGAATGATTACAACTCATATATGATATAATAACACTACACAATAAAATTTCTTATAAGTTGCGCTGTTATCTATTTAAACCAACTGCAATGCATGATAAGCATGGCTAATTTTATAATATATATTAATTTAAAAAATTATGTTTTCATAAAAAATGATTCTAATTTTTGAATGAAGTGTTGATTTTTTAAAACAAAACAAAAAAGCGCCTATTTTACTATTCCCCTAAATGAAAAGAAAAAGAGACTAATTTATTCAAGAGTTAGTTATGACTTATGTGTTTACTATTTTTCTGGGCTTTAAATGTTCCTTTGGTTGGGAGAGTATTTCACTTTTTCCCTTTTTTTAAAAAAATATTTATTATTTAATTCATATTAATTCAGTTCTCAACTGTAACTCATTGGAATTAAAAATTTAAAGTTTTAACTCAGCTGTAATTTATTTTCTAAATTTCATTCTGCACAAATAAGTTTTTATAGTTTTAATTATTTAAAATATTAATTTTTATATTTTTTAAAAAATAAAATTATAATGATTAAAATTATTTTAGAATTTTAATTTCTATAATGTTTATAAAAATTAAAAGTTTTAGTAATTTAAAATATTAATCCTTAAATATCAACATAATTTTAATGTTTATAATTTTAATTTTAAAAATATAAGAATTAATATTTTAGATGGTTAAAATTATACAGATTGAATTGCAACTAGTTAAAATTTAAAGAAAGAATTACATTTGAGTCAAAACACCAAATAATTAATTTTTTCTTTTAAAAAATATCAATATATTAAGAAAAATCATGAAATTTTAAATAAATAATAAACCTTATCTCAAGCTCTGTAAAAATGCTCCATGACTCTCGGACAATTTTAAAAAACGGAGGAATAAAACTAAAACACATCGAACAAATCTATATATCCACGTAAGTTGTAAAAATTTGTATGAGCCACCTTAGTTACATCAGCTCACTTAGAATATAATTTTTTGTTATGATTTGATTTACAATTTAATAGTAAATATACAAAAAATGGAAAAAGAACTAAAACGAATTATAAAAAAAATTAACAAAATTCATATTCATATCAAATAAAAAAATATCATATTCATAATAATCGTCCGCGACCCCAAAAAAAAAAAAATTCCTTGTCAAGCCAAGCTAGACAGAAAGTCACCCCATAATTACACGGCGTATCCGAGTCAACTCAATGACTCGTCTCTATCTGGGTCACGGAGCTGCATCCAGCGGTACAGTTTTCCGACGATGGGGATGGAGGACTTGCTTTCCTCTCTCTGCTCAGTATTCTCTTGAACGATAGTAAACGACCGCCCGGTGACCTAAGCGACGTCATCGACCCCTCCGCCTCTCTCCCGAAGCTTCTACTCATACTCAATGGCACGTCAACTGTCACACCCACAGACGAAGGCTTCCGCCTCAACCCAACCGAAGACAACGAATTACAGAGCCTCCGCCCGCTCCGGTTCTCTTCTTCTCCATCCTGGTGGCACCCCGAACTCGAACCCGGTTCGCGCACATCAATCACCACTTCCGGTCCGGGGCGGTCCCCAGGCGGCACGGGTTCAACCAAAGATCTACAGAGCGGGCAGGTTGAGTGGGACTGGAACCACATATCGATGCATTCGACGTGAAAAGTGTGGTTACATTTGGGCAAAACCCGACCCGATTCGTTCTCTTGGAACTCGGACAAGCACACGGCGCATTCCGCGGGGTCGGAGTGGGCGGAATAAACGAAGACAGGAAGAGACTGAATGACAGAAGGATCGAGGCCGATGGGCTGGGAGGCGTTAGGGGTGAGGGAGTCGACGTAGAAGACGAGATAGGAACGGCGGCGCTGGCGTCGACGGAGGCGGGCACGGCGGAGGTACCAGCGGACGTAGAACTGGAGGGAAATGAGGAGGAGGATGAGAAAGAACAAGATAAGAGTGATGGTGAGGAGGATGTTGGCGGTGAGGGCGTTGCCGTTGGCGTTGAAGGGATTGGGATTGGGATTGGGATGGTCGCCGGCGGCCATGTTAGAGTTAGGGTTGGATGGGAATGGGGAGAAGAACTGGGATTTTAACACGATGTTCTGCTTTACTCACGCTGTACTAACGTGGTTTGCTTCACACGCCCTCATTTGTATTTTGCAATCTCAGCGTTGAAGGTAAAATCAGAAGTCAACAGTCAAAGACAATCCTAGGGTCCGCACAAGGGTAATAATGATGACGATGATGGGATCTTAAAAAATCACCTCGTTTATGAAAAAGAAAAGAAATCACCTACCTGCTTATAGAAAGGATTATGTTGATTTGAGGCAGGAAATAGTAGTATAAGATGATTGGAAATGGAAGAGAAAATAGTTGGATAATGATATCGAGAGTAAATATATAACGTTTTACCTCAAATTTTCAATGCTTTAGTTCAGGATCCTTTCACTTTGTTAACTTTATTGAATAATGAATATAAGATTTTTCACATAAGTTTAATCTTGCTCCCCCAATTCTTATCATAAGATATTTTTTAGAATGATTTTTTCATTCTTAATATAAGATGCATAGAAAATTATTTATTATTATTTTTTAATTTTACTCTTGTAAATTTAACTTCATGGCTAATCTTTTATTGTGTTTATCTCTTTTTGTTTTTAATAAAGGTAAAATTAAAATTATTTATTTTTAAAATTTATTAATAATAAACATTTGTGAGAATATTTACTCCCTCCATCTTTATATATAATTTTTTTTTATTTTAAGTATAAGAAGTTGTTAATATATGTTTTAATAAACGAACCATTATATCCTTATTATATTGAAAAAAAAATAAATATTTTTATTAATTTATTTTTAAAAATATATTTATTTTTTATTTATAATAATTAAGAATAAAATTAAAATATTGTATTTTTTAGTAAATAATTAATTTTTATTAATTTACGTGATTTTTCGATTAAAAATATCTCATATGCTTAAAGAATGTTTTTTAAGTATGCCTGAACATGCAATTTACGGCTGTGTGGATCACAGCAGGAGTGAAAAACTTGGACGAAACTACCACCTGACGTCGTCAAACAAGTCAAGGGTTGTAGGGAATAGCCGCGTGCATGGCAGACTCTGTGAAGCCACTAAGCTTCGTTTCTAGTTTCAACGTGTTTCATTCCCTAGTAAACAAATATATAAGCAATGTTTCCATCAACTTCCTCGCTCACCTTACCAATTTTCCCCTCATCGCTGTCTTATGTTCAAATATTATCAAAAATAATTCCTTTGTTTTAAACAAATAGGATTGTTTGTGTCTGAATCCTACCAAGTACCAACTCCTAGATCACATATTCTTACAAAAATAATAAATTCCTGCTACCATCATTAAAAAATAGAAAAAATGATAAGAAAATTTATTTAAATTAGGTAAATGATAGATTGATTCCACGAAATGGTATAATTCTTCTAGAGTCCCTTAAAAATTTTTTTTTATCATTAGAAAATTAAAAGAAATGACACTTTTACCCAAACATACATTAGAGTTGGAAAATCACAAGTTTCCATTTGCAACTTGGATTTCAATATTAATAAGTTTTGTCCCTAAATTCATAATAATTCATTAGTCATTCACAAGTCCTAGTGTATAAGTCCAGACAAGTATCAGAGTTGAAAATTCGCAAGTCTCCATTCACAACTTTGATTCTCAAGTTAACAACCTTTGTTCCTAAATTTACAATAATTTATTAACCATTCACGAGTTTTGGTATATATGTCCAAACAAGCATCAGACTTGAAAATTCACAAATCTCCATTCATAACTTCAATTCTTAGGTTAAAAATTTTTGTTTCTAAATTTGCAATAATTTATTAGCCATTTGTAAGTTCTGATGTGCAAGTTCAGATATGCATCAGAGTTGCAAATTTGCAAGTTTTCATTTACAACTGTAATTCCAATATTAACAAGTTTTATCTCTTAATTCGCAACTATGTAACAAGAAATTGTAATTTATCAGTACCCTTTGAGTAAGTATTAGTACCCACATTTTTCAATTTTAGACATAGAAAGAAAATGAAAACCTCAATCATTTATGCAAAATAACCCACATCAACTTCAACTATCACATGTGGGAGGAGAAAATTTCAAAGAGGAGAGAAAATTTACCCACGTACAACAAACACAACAAAGGAAGAATGTTTGCTTATATATACCCATGTACAATAACTAAACAAAACAAACAATCTATTTATAGAAACTAAAAAAACAAAGTAACACGAGAAGGAGAAGGAGACGGAGAAAGAGAGGGAGATGAACCAGAAGAATACCATGAATTAAGGTGTGAATGGAGAACTTGACAACCTAAGACAGACTAGAAAAATTCACAAGTTTCTTTAGTGAGGATTGTGATTTTTGTTTACTTTGAGGGCAATTTGATCATTTCATTTAATTTCCTAATAACAAAAAGATCCCAAAGGACTCTAGGAAAATTATATCATTTCATGGGATTAATCTATCATTTACTTAATTTAAATGAATTTTTCTATCATTTTCCCTAAAAAATATAAGACATTTTTGAAAAGTTAAATGTTAAAAAATGTAAGATAGTTTTAATATTTTAAGGTGTAATCATTATTTTTTTTTCAAAAGTGCCCTTGATGAATAAATCAGTTTATATTTATTTTAGAGTAAAACATCCTATTAAATAAAGGAACAATATTAGTTTGAAGATAGGCTCAAGGAGCATTTTTATCTTTGAACTTTTTTTCAAGAAGCAATTTTACTCTTATACAAGTGGGATAATTTTACCTCTAAATTATTTTTTTTTTTGAGGAGCAAAAAAAGTCTTGTACAAGGTGTCTAGTGCTCCTAGAAAAAATAGTTCAGGGATATAATTCTTTTAGTTATCAATACAAGAGTAAAATTACTCTTTGAGAAAAAGTTAGAATAAAAATGTACCTTAATGCTAGAAGATAAATAACTAATTTATTAGAGTAAAATTTAATTAAAAATACTTTTAATCGAGGGAATATAAAATACTTAGAGAGAATGTTGTGTTACTCTTCAATAATTTAAGTGAGATCAAATCATGTGTGAAAAGAATTGATAATGAAAAACATTGAATAATAGAATACGAGAACATTTGGATAAATTTTTAAAAACTAATTTTAATAAAATTAAAAATATTTGAATAATTTTTTTTAAAATTAATTTTGAATAGATAATTATACTATTTAAAAAGGCAAGTCAGTAATAGTTAAAATTGATTTTTCAAATGAAACAAGTTATAGCTTATTTCAGATGAAGTTTTGGAAATTAAATAAAGTTTAAAAAAATTGAAATGTTTGGATAAAATTTTTTAAAATTATGTTTTAAACTCAGAATTGATTTTAAAGGCTATCCAAAATAATTTTTTTTTGAAACCAAGGTCAAATCATAATAATTAAATGAAAAAAAAAAGTTTATATAACAGTAGTTTCTTTTTCGTTAATTTTACCTGAAGTACGTTGTCCCATTAATCAAACATATCCCAATTGTAATTTGCTTAGTACTTCTTTTTTGGAACGTGATGGAATTGGCCCCTTGCGATATACTTTGACCAGTTCAAATCGAAGAGCCGAGCCGACACAGATGAAGTACAGTAGTTAGATATCACTGTCAGTTTTGAAGTGGGCAGACGCGAAAACAATTCTTTTTGGGAGAATGACAATTTTTTAAAAAAAAATCAATTAATAATTTTGGGGGGACGGGGGGTTTGCAGATTTAGCAGAGCCTTTGTCCGATGCATGTGTATCTGTCAGACACTTGATATTCAAAATCGCAAAGCAACGCACAAGTGATTTTCAAATCATACTAGACATAGAAATTCCCTCGTCTTCGCTCAATTCTTCCACTGCTCATGACTTCTAGCTCTAAGCTTGATCCAAATTTCACCTTCTCAACATCTCCTTCAAAAAAAGGAGCCATGAATCCACTTGCATCTGAAGAAAAAATTTACTCAAGAGGAACACCTCCAAGTTAGATGGTGAAATGATAGACAAAGATCCAGAAAATCATCAGCACTCAAATAGTCAGATCCAACAGGATAGCCTCAATCAAAATGACAGGCAAATAAATCTCCAAAAGGAACAGCCAATGGACGTGCAAACAGATGAAATCCAAGAAATTAATGCTTCATCAAACAAAACAGCAACAACAATCAAAGGAGGCAAAATTCCTATCTCTTACAAAGAATCATTGATCGGTTACAATGGATGCTACGGAATTCATGTTGGGAGAGAAACCAAGCATAGAAACGAAACACTTGCCAAGGAACTAGAACAAGAATGGTCTCCTTTTGAAAGAACTATGCAATTAATGGATCAATACCCTGCTCTACAAATATCCAATGAAGAATGGAAGAAAATATGTCAGCCTTGGATGGATGCTATTGTAATCAACACTCTGGGCCTCCAACTCAATCCAAAATCACCTAAACCCAGGTTAGCAAAAATGTGGCAACTTAAGGATTTTGAACCAATTGATCTTGTCAACAGTTACTACATAGTTAGAACAAAAGATCACACTACTTATGACAAAATTCTCAATGGCGGACCTTGAACCTTATTTGATCATTGCATCTTAGTTCAAAGGTGGTCTCCTAGTTTTAATCCAAACTCAAATATTTTAGGGAAAATTGCCCTATGGGTTAAGCTGTCAAATATCCCTATTCAGTGCTATGACAAGGAAATCCTTTAGAGATTAGAAAATTGCATAGGCAAGACCCTTAAAGTTGATTCTAACTTCTTATCTGAATCGGATTCTACAGACAAAAATGGCAAAATTGAGTGTGGGAAATTTGTAAGAATAAGTGTAGAAGTTGACCTTCAGAGAAAACTTGTCCCCAGAATTCTTATTAGAGATGAGCTCTATAATGTTGAACATGAGAGCCTTAATCTAATCTGTTTTGAATGTGGGTGCTATGGCCACAACAAAAATAATTGCTCTCATACTCCAAAAAATTGAACTTCAGAGAAAGAAACAGGGCATGTGGAGCAAGCAACAGGGAATGTGGATATAAACTCAAATATAAACAAAGCTCAAGTTTCAGCTGCTGCCAAGGTTTACAAAAATGAAAGAGAAATGAAAATTGACATACAAGTGG